TTACTCTTGGCCTTTGCCCGAACCTGGAGCTCTCCCGCAAGCTCTGCTCCCCCCTCCCCCATCCGAAGCTCCTCAATTTATAGAATTGAAAACCTGCCAAGCAAATGAATGGAAAAGTGAGTTGGGCCACCTTCTCTTTCTTTTCCTTCTTTCATTTTCCTTTTCATTTGTGTGGCAAACATCACCCTTTTCTATCAATTCCCATTCTCTTTCCTCTTCTTTTTCTCTCCTTTTTCTTTTCTTTGCTTCCACCGAGCTCTGCTTTTCTAAACTTTAACCTGCAATCAAACAAACATATAAATATAATTATATAACATTTTATTACCTATGTACATATATAAATGAAGATACTGGATGACGGTGGGAAAGATTCTTCCACCGAAACTTCATTTATTTATTATTTTAAATTATATTATAATATAATATAATATCAAAATATATTATTTATAATGATTTAGGTACAAACTCTCAAAATATGCGCAAATACATAAAATTACACAAAATTATAAAATAATATAAATAAATAAACTAATAAAGTGTATGTTAATAGGTTAACTGTGTAATATTTAGACACCAATATCATTGTATTTACCACAATGCATCAATGGTTTTATGTACATAATAACAAACCACTACCAACCTTGTGAATGTTCACAGTGTTTTTATAGTACCAAAATAATATGATAACATCAACAATGCATTACTCACAAATCACAACTAATGTTAACATTCAAATTAAAAAATAATCATATTAGCATAAACAATGTGAATGTTTACCATGTATGGTTGGATATTATTTAGCAGCATACATTTGTAATATGAAAATTTATATCAATATTTAGGCCTTGTTTGGCAAATGGTGATTTTAGTCAAAAAGTCAAAAAGTTACTAAAAAAATTAAAAAGTTAACAACTTATATAAAAAAGTCAAAGATTCTATTTTCTCTCTATTTTTTGCACATTTTTTCGTAAAAAATTAAAAAGTCATCCTAAACATACTAATTTTTTTACCTCATATTTTAGCAAAAAAAGTTACTAAAATAGTATATTTCCAAATGAGGTCTTAGTAAGGGAAACGATTTAGGGTTTAAAAATGTGAGAGATTTTTGTTGTGGAATAAGGGAGAGATTTTCTCCCTAGAATGAATGAGAGATTTTTTTTTTTATGAAATAAAGTAAAGATTTTCTCTCTAAAATGAGGTGAGATTTTCTTTCTAAAATGAGGTGAGATTTTCTCCTTAAAATAAGAGAGATATTTTCTCCATGTAATGAGAGATTGTTGTTATTTTTTATTGTGGATTGTTTTTAGAGTAAATTACAAATACACTCCTAAAGTTTAATTAAAATACAAATCGTTCCTGTAATTTTAGAAATTACATTTCACCCCCTGAGATTTTTAATTTCATACCAAATCGCCCATTTTATTAATAAATCATCAAGTCAATTAACAGTTTTAATGATGTTAAAAATATGTTTCAATTAATAATTTACATAATTTTATTTGTGTGGGTGATTTTCTGATCACACTGCCAAACAGGTACTCAGCTGGAGAGCACCGGCAGAATAGATTAAGCCCGAACGACCTGCAACAGAAAGAAGAGTTTCCGGCGGTGGTTCATCCACCCGGGGGCACTCCGACGATCAAGTCAGTACTCAATATCTCTCAAAGATAACCAATAATGCTAAATTCACTAGACAAAGCATAAAAGACATACCTTAGACCCATGGGGGTGCCTCCCTTTTATAGCCAACACAATCCTAGTCCTAATAGAAGCCTAGCTCTAATGGACTTAGGATTACTGCTAATCTTGAACTCCCAGTAGGATTAGGATAAACTCTCTAAGAGTCTTATCTTTACCTAAACTGAAGTCTTCTCCCATTCTAGGACTCTTGTCCCTTATCCGCTTATCTCGGATTCCGACATCTTCGCAGATAACCTTGGCTTAGCCGAGATCATCTTGGCATCATGACCATGACACGTGGCACCTCGGCTGGCACTCCAGTGACACCTCGGCCACGTGTCGTCATTCAAAACATATGTCCCCACAACTGCCCCCTAGGTTCTATTACCTCGGCATCCTGAGGTGATGAAACATATATTATTCCTTCATTTAATCATGACTCCGGTTTAACTTCAACTTGTAAACTTTTCTTAAGTTTCAACAAGTGTTAAATATCATCTCGGTTTAACTTCAACTTGTAAACTTTTCTCAAGTTTCAACAAGTGTTAAATATCATCTCGATTTAACTTCAACTTATAAATTTTTCTCAAGTTTCAACAAGTGTTAAACATCATCTCAGTTTAACTTCAACTTGTAAACTTTTCTCAAGTTTTAACAAGTGTTAAGCATCATCTCGGTTTACTCTTCTCTTCTCGGACTTAATCATCTTAGGCCAAGATCTTGTCTTCCGAGATCTGGAATCCGGGATCGGCTTACTTGGGCTGAGATCTTGTCTTCTCATATCCGGTGTTATCTCGGCTTGACAGGTAAGGTTACCTCAGCATCTTGTCGCTTTCTCTGGAGGTAATCCCTCAGATCCTCCTTGGTTCGTCCAGGAGCTCGGCTATCTCCGGATTTTCAGCCTCTTTGGTGCACTACTTCCTGTGTCATTGCGAGTCCTTTTGGACCTCCCTCCGTTGGTCGCGTTGAAACAGAGGTCCTTTCCTTGAATATGCCGATGTTCTTTGGAGTCAGTTTCCTTGATGCGATGTGTCCTCTGTGAATCTCCCCTTATTGATTCTCCTTGTTCGACCTCCCTTTAAGGCTGGTGAGAACGTTCCTTGGTCCTATCGTGCTGAAGAGTCGTAGGAGTTGTCTTCTGCCCCCTGCCTGGGCATCTTTCTTGGCTGCTGGAATCGGCGTATCTTGTGACGGGAACGGTGGTTGCATGACGTTGTTCTGTATCATGAAATTGACAACCGTTTGCAGGTCCGCTAATTTGTTCGCCATTCCTTTCATCTCGTTGTCCTTTCGTAAGCATCTTTCTTTCCATACTTGGAGGTCGTCCTCGTTATAATACTTGCTTTGGTCTGATTTCTTCGGCACGTTGCCCTCTTGGCCGACGTCCTCTTCTCTGTGATTCTTATCACAAGTTTCTTCGTTGTAGTTGTCTTCTTCGACGCCAAGGCCAATATGTTTCCCACTCTCAGTAGGGGTGTCGTCCCCAACCTTCTCTTTCGGTCTGTCGTTGGCCATCTATTCTTCTTTCGTTCCCACAGACGGCGCCAAATTGTGTGTGTGATTTTCTGACCATACTGCCAAACAGGTACTCAACTGGAGAGCACCAACATAATAGATTAAGCCCGAACAACCTGCAACAGAAATAAGAGTTTTCGGCGGTAGCTCGTCCACCTGGGGGCACTCCGATGATCAAGTCAGTACTCAATATCTCTCAAAGATAATCAATAGTGCTAAACTCACTGGACAAAGCATAAAAGACATACCTTAGACCCATGGGGTGCCTCCCTTTTATAACTAACACAATCTTAGTCCCAATAGAAGCCTAACTCTAATGGACTTAGGATTACTGCTAATCTTGGACTCTCAGTAGGATTAGGATAAACCCTCTAAGAGTCTTATTTTTACCCAAACTGAAGTCTTCTCCCATTCTAGGACTCTTGTCCTTTATCCGCTTATCTTGGATTCCGACATCTTCGCAGATAATCTCGGCATCATGACCATGCCACGTGGCACCTCGACTAGCACTGCGGTGAAACTTCGGCCACGTGTTGTCATTCAAAAAATATGTCCCCACATTATTATTGTATAGGAGAGTAATTATAAATTATATTTTTTAGTTAATTCTGTTAAATAAAATTACTAATAAGAAGGTATTTATAATTTTCAAACTATAAAAAATAATTTATACTTTAAAAAATTCTTAAAAAATATATTTATAATTTACCTTATTTTTAAAATGAAAACATAAACAAAAAGTTAATAGAGTGATTTCATCATATTACTCTAAATTTCTAAAACAAGACCCAAAACATAACAATTAAGAACACGAGTTTCTGAAAAACGGCTCCTTTCTTTATTTTGACAACGCTGCTACACACCCCAGTGGGGTCGATCCTCAGTGACGTGGCGCGTTTTCATTGGCTAATTTTTTTTTTTTTTTCTTTCCAATCCCGTAGTGTCACGTGGCACTGAGAGTCGCTGGGGGTGGGATTTACAGGGGTCGGACACATTTTTGTTATTTTGACTGGAGAATTGATTATTTTAATAATTATTTAATTTTTTTTTAAAAGAGTATAAAATTTAATAAAAAATAAAGGACAAATTACAAACACCCCCTCGAGGTTTGGTAAAAATACAAATTCCCCCTGAAATTTGAGAAATTACATCCCGCCCCCTGAGGTTTATATTTTCATAACAAATTGCCTCCTGAGGTTTTTATTTTCATACAGATTCCTCCTAATTTTTCCTAATTTATTATGAAAATTTGACCATTATGAGACAATTTGTAATTTCTCAAACCTCAGGGGAATATGTATTTTTACTAAATCTCGAGGGGCGTTTGTAATTTGCCCAAAAATAAAATAAAATTGAAGACGTAGAAAAGGAGCCGTTAACCGTCCCTCAACTACATCAATAATAATTTTCGGAGATCCTTTTTGTGGAATGGATTTCTCTCAGCTTCTGGTTCGTTTCCAATCTTGAAGGTAGTTTTTCAACCATCTCAATCCCAATCCAATCCAATCAAATCCATCTAATCTGCTAATTTTCGCGCCTCCTCGTCACAAAAACCCCTAATTTGGGATTTTTTTCATCCCAAATTAGGGTTTCAACGATCACAAACCAACCACGAAATCTCTGTTCCGATCACTCGTTTGCTTCGATCTTCGCGTTTTCCTTGGTTTGATCTACCAATTTCCCGCCCGATCGGTTCGCTTTGTAGTTCTTTTAGATGTTTATAGCTGCTACACACAAATATTTATCTATACGATCGTATATTTATTTGTATTTTTATACATAGAAGAGATAGTTTAGTTTGTGAGATGAAGCATTCGAAGAAGAAGAAGAGGTCTCGACCTACGAACCAAGTCGGCGTCAAAGGCGCTGCACGCGAGGGACAGAGTGAAGAACGCAGAGTTGTTAAGAGTTTGATGGAATCTTTTACGTCAGTTTCTATTGAAGAAGCTTCTTCGGCTTATCGAGAGGCGAATGGGGACCCGAGCAAGGCGGCGGAGATTTTGGGAGAATTGTTGGAAATTGCCGATGATCAGGCCACGAGTTGTTCAGGTTCGAGCTCAAGTTTGGGTCCAAGCTCGGCGGAGGTGTTTATGGACGCCAATTGTGGTGGCAGTGGAGTTCGTGGAAGGGGTTTTAGAGGGACTAATAAGCAAAAGAAGGTTATTGCATCTACAGGGACGGTTTCGACAATTTTAGGAAAGGAATATGTAAGGTCAAGCCCAAGGAAGGATTCATATAAACCACTAAAGGGGTATGCTTATGGACCTGCAAACAAAGGAGACGCCGAGCAGTTTTTGTGCTCGATGCTTGGAGACGACTGTGAACTAAGCATGGCTGTTGTTAGAGACGTTCTATGTGAGTTACCCCCTTGTTGTGTCAAATTTTGGTACTAAGTAATTAAATATTATTTGTGAATGGATGAGACTTTCATGTATATGGTCGCTGGAGCTAAGGTTATTCAGCAGATGTTTGGCATGCACTAAAAAAGTGCATTTTTTTTTCCCATACATACACTTATTTGAGTTACGGCAATCAATATTTATCAACATCTTATCTCCACTTTTCTACCCACCTTCTCTACACAATATTTTTTATAAAAAGTAAAAAAAGTGTACTTATTAAGACATCCAAACCACCCCTCAGTTAGAGCAAGATCCTCTTTATGATGATGAACTATGACGAATTTGTCAGCTTAATGAATAACCTTGTTACTGACTGAAATTGTTTTTTTCATTTCATGTACCATAATGGCATCACTATGGAGTTTAATTCTGAAATCTATCTCTATAACTCTATATTCAAAGCTTTGGGTCATAAAAAAACATTACTGTGAAATTTTTATGCTATGTGGATCAGTTAAAATAAGTAACAATTGTTTGGAGAATGGGGGTTAAAAAGGATGAGATCTTAAAATGAGAATTTGAAAATGCTTTGGACACTTTAATTAAAGAGAATAACTAACAATTGTGTGGGGAATGGCGGTTAAGAATGAGAGGTTACATGCCTCGTCAAGCTATGCCATGAGCAGGGTTTCATCTACCTAAATTAATGTTGCATCAGGTTAGCGACCATAGTATAGTTAAAACAAGATGTGATTGAGTGGCTTAAACCTTGGTGAGGGTAAATAAGATTTTTTCTTGATATTTATTTAAACATAACTAAAACAACTAAATGATGAAAAGCATCTTCTATAGAAGAGTATATATCTCCTTATATGAATTAGGGTGGTAAAGGTAAGACAAAGATGGGTGAAAGACAAGAGTGAATGGATGGAAGAGGGACATAGTGAAGCATTACAATTTCACACTAAGCATGATCAAGAAAAGTTACACTCCTAGATCTTAATCAGGGGAAGCTTCAACAATCACACTTGGGCTTTTAGAGAATCAAATCAAAGAAAAGATGCATTATGCATTACAAGTAACTTGGCTCAGGTGATTTCTTTGTTGCCTCATTTCTATTCTAGGGAAACTACAAGCCTTTAAACATTGGATATGTAAAAAGGTTACTTTCAATTGCTAAGTACTTAAGCCCAAAGTATCTTACTGCCACTGGGTGAGAACCCAAAGTAGCTTACTGCCACTGGGTGAGAAGTAGGTACGAACTAGTAACCTATAAAGTATAAAAGAAGTTAGTTGGGACTTTAGTAACAAAAAAGATCAAACTATATTCTAGCCTAGATCTAGTAACAATAATTTGTCTTTTTCTTCAATTAGACCTTTAATAAATTAACCAATTTTTAAGTTGACCCATATTTGTGTGATGCTATCTATGATCTAAATCTTCATGGGGGTAGTGGCAGGGGATTGACTAATTCAACTTCCCATGTTACTATTGATAAAATGGAACATCATTCTCTTTAGATGAGATGTGGAGTGTTCCTATGGAGCTCTTCATTTGTTCTTCATTCTACAGTCAAAGAATTATTATTATTATTATTATTATTATTATTATTATTATTATTAT